GAAAGGGAAGCTCCCGCTGACCCCCTGGGATCTCCCTGGCCGAGCCCTCTGTTTCCCAGCTGACAAACTTTCCCCCTTGGTCTGACGCAATGGAGAAGCTATCTTTGCCCCATGGCATCCTTGGAGGGTAAGGAAGGTCAGTGCTGTGCCAGGAGCACCGGTGCCACTGCCAGGCTTCAGCGCCCTGCGGGCAGAGCCAGCAGCTCGTGGCTGCCCCAAGGATCCCACCTGGTGAAATATTTTGGTCAGATTTGCCATCTGATACAGTTGAGTTTTGCAAAGCTTATTGGATAGGCTTAGCCTAACTGCTGAAGCGCTCAGTTGGTCCGGCTGGGATAATTAAATTAGTTAACTCTGCAGTTGTAAGCCAGCAATTTCAGGCACATCTACTGCAAAGGAAACGCATGTGTCTGTCTCACATCTCTGGGTGAAGATGTCCATCCATGTCCTACAAGAGCCTCACCGGAGCCTTGAGGGAGCAGCTGAAGGACAGAGATGCTGGAAAACACTGATCCAGCCCAGCTGTGAGCTCTGCTTCAAGCCTCAAGGTCCCGCTGTCTCCTCGTCGTGTCCCCTGTCCCACACGGGGCCGGAATGCAAGGCTGGGGAGGGACTGAGGAGGGAGTCGAGGACTGCACTGTGTGCAGCCCCCCTCGCCCACCACTGTGGCTCTGCACCACCCGTCAGACCTTTTCCTCCCGAAAGGTGGAAACCAGAGCCTGGACACTCTCCTCCTTCCCTATCCATCGCATGAACCTTATACATCAGCACAAAAAGCATCTGCAGGCACCCTTCCCGGAGGCGGTGACCTCCTGCAGAGACCCCAGGCAGCACCAGGAGTGCTGTGTGGAGAGGAGGGTCTGCACCTCTCTCCTGCCTAACAGCTACTGCCACACAGCCCACAGCCCTTCTGAAATTCGATTACATCTGCTCCGGTGACACGCTACTGCTTTTAGCATCCTGGCTATTTTGTAACTGCGAGCACTTGTTTGTGCCATCCCCACTTCTCAGCCCATTTCTGTTTACTGCTTCTCTTCCACGTTTCCGCTGACGGCTGAAAATCGTGAAGCTCACTTCAGATTAACCTGGTGAGAGGATTTAAGAATGGCTTGCAAATGGTTAGGGATTTGGGGAAGGGATGACACCCCGAGGCTGCCAGGGGGGACAGAAAGCAAGACCCCCTTCTGAGTGCATGGTCTGTGGGAGCCAGTGGCCCAGCTCCCAGTGGTCCAGAGAGGTCTCCAGGCAGGATCCAAGCCTTCTGTGCTCCCCAAGTATGCTCAAGAAGGGCAACCTGCCGGGCCTTGCTGTACCTTCATTCTTCTGAACCTGGGTCTTAGGCAGGTTTGTGTCAGTCCTTCTTTACTCATGTATTAGCCCCTAATACACAGGTCTGACACACAAGTCTGACAGCCAGATGCTGAGATCTGTTAGATCCTTTAGCCGCATCCTCCGCCTGTGCTGGGGGCACCCCTGTACCCCACAGGGTCCCTGCCGTGGGGATGTGGGATGGAGAGCCGTCCAACGCAGGAGCCAATGTGGGGACTCGGCTGTCAGGGTTGCTCTTGTTTAGACTGTTTTGCTGGGGCCAAGACCAACCCAAAGAGGTGGGTTAAGAGGTGCAGGATGCGATCCTAACCTGCGATTCTGTTCCTCAGAGAAGGGACTGAACCAAGTGCACAGGCATGCTGTGCCTGCGAAGCCTCATGCAGACCTCAGCAGGGACCTGGAAGGGCTGGAGATGAGCTACAGCTGGTACTAAACCCCCGATGGGCACCAAGGGAGCCAGGAAGGAGCATCTGTGGGCTCACCAGGCTGGAAGACCAGCTACAAAAAGAGGCTTTCCAGGCCCCAGCGCAAGTCTTTTATTCCCCAAAGTCTGCAGAGCGGAGCACTCACAGCAAAATCAGCTGGACGTGATGCCCCATCTGCTCGGAGCTGCACTGGGGCTGCATCCCCACCAGTGGGATCCGTTTGAGGGTCTGCCCTACCTGCCACACTGCCTCCATGCCCTTCGTTTGCAAAGGCTGGCAATTAAAGAGCAGAAAATCACAAGGAGCCTTTGGAAAAAAAGGAAAAAAAAGGCTTCACTGGCATTTCATTCATTTCATTGGCATAAACTCATTAATTCTTTTAATGAGGGATCAAAGCCTCAGAGCTTGCCACAGCTGCGGCCATGGGAAGATCGATCCCTGCTCCTCCATGCTCTCCTTTGGTGCCCCTGCAAGCTGGCCCAGCGTGAAGCGATGAGCAAAGAAGAGCAGATGACTTCTGCTCTGCCCTCCCAGAACCACTGAAATGCTCACCTTACCATGGTGCAAGCACCGCTCGGAGACGGTAACCATGGCACAGGCTCTCAGAATAGCCAGGTGAATAAAAATAGTCCCGTCCCTTTGATCTCTTCCCTTTGTTCAGCTGTGAGCACTCCAGCAGATGCAGCTGGGGCACACGTGCATCATACCGAGGCTTTGCAACTCATTCAATGTTTTGGTCTCATCCCAAAAGGTCTTGATGATCACCTCCACCTCCTCCCGAGGTACTGAGCAGCTTGTCTGGAGGGATATGATTGGCACGTTCAGCCTTGCAAGACCAAACCACTGGTCACGGCAAGCAGACACCCCAGTGGGCAACTGAACCAAGATACTCGCTGGCACGTGCACAACCGGCTCCGCGCGCACAGATATTGCATTGGATTTTGTTACCTGTGCACCCACACAACCACACATGCTACTAACATGTCTCCATGCCAAATTGCCCCGATGCAACAAAACCCAGTGATACGCAAACATGACCCTTTGCACGGCTCCTCATCAACCTTTGCACACATGCCTCTGTGTGTATGCAAAGCCCCACGTGAAGTACAAATGCAAGTTACGCTTTACATTTCCAAATACAGCCCCAGAAAATGCCGTCGGAGGAAATGTGGATGAGGAAGATTTCCCTGGCCACTGCTGGGCACGCAGAAAGAGGAGCAGCCCATTTCCCAGCCCCGGCATCTGCGCTTGGGGCTGCATCCTTCCCCCTTTTTCCCTGGCCGCTCTGCACCATGGGCACCAGCAAATGCACCTGGTTGACCCATTTCCACAGCCGTGGACCTTCTCTCACGCCAGCGGGTTAGTAACAGAGACTCGAGGAAACCTGCAGTCATCAGCATGCGGTGGCAAAGGCAGTTTTAACATGCTGGTTTTAAAGTGAGGAGCTGCCTGGGAACAAGTGGTGAAGCCACTTTCTGAGCAAGCTGGAGGGACGTGGCCATTGCTTCGCATTGCTCCCCGCATGTCTGACACCAATCTGGGGACAGTCACCTTTGCCCCCTCCCCGCGGCGGCAGCTCATGGGGCTCCGTGCCTGTGGGCTCCAGGCAGGGGCAGGAAGGCAGGCAGTGAAGGGGCAGCCTCACCCTCCCCACCACCGGTTTTGAGGCAGTTTGGGTCTTTTGCAGGCTTTGGTTTGCCAGGAACTCCCGCATGGGCTTACGGGACATCCTGCACTGCACATACGGGTGAAGCAACGAGTGGCTGCTTCTACAGAGAGAATTAGGAGGGGACAATTGTGCTATTCCAACCTGCAGCTAGTAAAATATAATAACATGTGTAAGTTGTTTTTACTGCCCGTCCAGCTTATTAGTTAATAAAATAAGCTTAGCATATTAAACGTTGCTGGCGTGGTTTATCAAAAGACGAGAGCAACCCTCGTGTTTTTCCCCTGCTATCACCCAAATATGTGATTCCCTCACCCATTTTATCCTCTAAGCTCCTCTGGAGGAGGAGAAGTCCATCTCTTCCTCCAGCACCGCTGCACTCCTTCAAACACCCTCTGCACTGCCAGGCATGAAACGCCATAAAACATCGTGTTCTTGTAAGAGGGGAAAATGCACATAGAGCGTTGGATGTCACCTCACTGGGGAACAGCAAGGGGAGAAACACCATGGCTGTTTCTCCACACCACCCGATGAATTCCTGCCAGCAGTTTCCCTGCGAACAAGAGGATGCCTTGCATCAAGCGGGCTTTGCTGGCTGCGGCTGTACAAAGAAAATCAGGGCAGATGCTCCCAACACGGTTGCCTCTGGGATGAAGCACAGCAGCACTGTACAGAAGGTGACCACATCGAACCGAAACGACGGGGGAAGCTTTCTGGCTGGCAGAAGGTGACAGCCCGCCCTGGGAAGCAGCCAGGGCAAACCCCCTGCTCCCACAGCAGGAGCCCTGGGGTCTTCAGACCCGCCGCTATCTCCATCCCACACAGAGCTGGTGTTGTCATTGACTTTACAACTATAAATTATTGATGTGGGAAATGTCAAATCATAAAACAGCAGAAAAAGAAATCTTATGAGCGTGAAATGGAAATGCTGCTCCCACTGTCCTTCGATGCAGCCTCTCGCTTTGGCTCTCACTTGGTCCAGTCACTTGGTCTTGCAGGGAGAGGACCCAGGAGCAAAATCCTCCCCGATTCGCACTTCAGATCTGTTATCTGGCTTTGCACGGCAGATTGAAGAGGGAGGTTGTGCTCTGTGTTTGCAACTGAAAATGAAACGTGATAACATCTCCAGAGTGGAAAATTACAGAGGCTAACAGTAAGTAAAGCCCGTAGCAGTATGAATTCGGCTCCTGACGGAGCCAGGGCTAGGTGCCTTGGGGTGCTGCCTTCACCTCCTCACAGCAGACTCAGGGCTCCTCTCTCCTGAACTCAAAAATGTGGGGTTTAACGTATTCCTGCTTGAAACACATGCCAGGAGCAAACAACGACACAGTGGACTCAGTGTGGAAAAATCAGTGCAGAACAGAAATGCAGGGATTTATTAAAGAAATCCATTTGCAGGGGAACGGGTTTCCTGCTTGGACAGAAGGTTGTGCTTCCCCATAACATCCGTGTTACTCTGCACACCACAGACCCACCTCAGGAGGATGCTAAAGGATTTTTAGCAAAGCAGAGAACGGCATCACCTCACTGCTAAGCCCTGTCTGCAGGGCCCTCGCAGGGACAGCACCATCGCCTCTTACCTGGGTCATCTTGGCGAGGTCCAGTGAGGGCCGTTGCTCCTGAACCTCCTCTGGTCTCCGTCGCTTGACCCCGACCTTTTTGTCGTTCAGGACACAGGGCTGTGAACGGCTTCGGGAGAGCCCACCAGCCCGTCGCTCCAGCTCCGGCGTGGAGGCAGGCGTGCTGCTTGCTGAGGGTGAGCAGTACTCCGAGGAGGAGAAGCGGTCGTGTGAGCAGGAGAGAGACCTCTGCATGTCCACCCGGTCTCCTCCGTGCCCACCAGTAGCCGATTTCCTTAGCTGGCATCCCAGCCGGCTGCTGAGGGCAGGATGCTCACAGGAGAGTGGGTTGGACCGCGAGGGCAGGCTGAAGCTTGAGCTCCTCTGCATGGTGGCAAAGCCATTGGAGTAGCGTTGCACGCTCCCCCCGCTGTAACACCGCCGTTTCTCGACCGGGGTCCAAACCTTCGAGCCTAAGGGTCTCCACAAGGTCCCGCAGCTCGACATTTCATCCGAAAATGAGAGCGAGCGACACTGGCGCTTGCTGGGGGGGGCTGAGGGGTTGCCGTGGGGGTCGCTGAGGCTGAGGTCTTTGATCAGGTTGGTGACGGAGCAGGTGCTGGCCGTCTCCCTCGGCCAGCGCGAGCCCTCCTTGCCCTTGTCCGACAAGCAGTCCCAGATGCTGGCGCCCGGCTGCTCGAGCTGAAGTGGACATTTCCTGCTGAGATCTCTCCATCTGTCATTTTCTGGTTCAGAAAGGAGAAAAAAACCACACACGCACAGGCATTAGTGTTAATTAATTCTGCAATTCACTTTCTACATCCATAAACAAAAAGAGTAGCATATGGGACATTTTCCAGTACAAATTAATTAACTCTTGGAATATGGTTTTCCGAACTGCCAGCAGAGTGGTTGCTGCGGTGTAGATGGAGAGAGAGAGAGACAAAGTGATAATCACAGCAGGAGCAAAACTGCTAGAAGAAGATAAAAACATGCCTTTGAATATCCAGATTGCACTAGCTAAGGGAAATTCAGCAATATAAAATGGTATGGCCATTGCCTTATCTCCGTGCTAAATCATGTCTCAGACGCGTGTGGTTTGTCCTGGGCTCCACAATCAATAATTGCCTGAGACATTCACAAAAACTGGAAGTGAAGAGCACAAAGCTGTAGCACCGCTGGGGCGAGATGGACCTCGGGGGACAAAACACCAGAAAGGAGATGAGATAGCAGTTGGGATGGTCCTAACAGAACGGGGAGTGCCCCCCCCCGGCCTGTCGGAGCACAGAAATCCCAACAAGGTCATCAGAGTCTACAGGAAACCAAAAGCCATCCCGACACCCATCGGGCTGTCCTGCTCTCAGCTGTTGCTAAAACAGCATTGCTCCAATTAAACTAACTTATCCCCACTAAGGCTTTGAGCATCTATTCCAAGCCGACCCAAAGATACTGTGTCTAACAAAAGTCAGTGCACATAATAAGCTCTAAGATGGCTGATGCTATAATAGATGGACGATAAACCTCCAGCAGTTCTTTGCAAGATGCTGTTCTTAGGTCCCTGTTGGGAGGCTCATCGGCCACCTCCCCTCCGTCCCCCAAATCTGGGGCCACCTGGGTGCTCTGGCCCAGGTGCCCACCTGCCTGGCTACCCACACAGAGCAGGAAAGTGCTACGGGAACCGGGTACCCACACCCTCCTACCCTTCTGCGGCAACCTGGGCTTAGCATCTCTTTGGGGTTGCCTTGAAAATCCCAGTCGTACCTAGCACAGCCAATTGCTTGCATTTCTGTAACAAACTAACGCTGAAGCATTTATTTAAAGGACCAAATCGCTTAATAGGTTCACTTTTTTTTTTTTAAACACACTTTTTTAACATTTTCTCCCTCTCTCTTTCATTCAGCTTGTTTACACAGGAATTTGTTCCTCCTGCAAATTTGGCTTGCATTAACAGTCTTCCAATGCAGCACAGCAAAAGACAGTGGTGACCTGTTGCATGGTTTCGGGGTTGGCATAAAGATACTCCTTTTATCAGATGGGTTTTGCAGTGCCTGGGTAAAGCTCCGAGAAACCTGCACCTCCAGAGGCCACGGGCTGAAATGTATATGGCTACGGGCAGCTCCACATAGGAAGACTGCAAACCTGGCTACAGCTATATTCAGAAATGCCACTAATGACTGTGTCAAAAGAGAGGATTGAGGGTGATGATCTCATTCCCGCACACGGTCCTGCTCACAATAAAAGAAGAAAGCAAAGTATCATCAAGGTCTGGCTTCCCAGTGCAGGCTGCACAGACGAATGGGACTCTCTGCAGATATACTGTTGACGCTCAACAGGAAAACCATGGTAGGACAACCCCATCAGCTGCCGCAATGGAAAAAAGTAATCATCCAACAGACCTTCTCTGGTGACTGTTTTTGTTGTCAGCTGCTGAAAACAGAGGCAAACCATGCTAGCTAACCGTCGCTGCGAAGTTTCATATGATCGTATCTAAATCGTGCAATATTTTTTAGGGGTTTGGGGGTTTTTCCACTCAGGCAACTGAAGGACGAATTAAGAGCCGTACACCAGCCCACAGCTGTAGGTGCCAGCCTGATAGGGAAGATGCAATGGTGCAGAACACTTCCGACCAGGGCTCGGTTTCAAGTCAGGAGATCAGATTTGGGGCCCCTTACACCACTCTTGGCCAGTTTTCCCATTTCTCCCTGCATCCAGCTGCTGCTGTAACAGCTCCAGCCACAAACAGCCTGGCTCTGCCCTCAATAACCACAAGACATTTTATCTGTCGCTGTCCTCATTTTAATAAACACAATGAAAAGTGAGAAATCTGCACTAAACAATTACATCTACACTTAGATCTTTATTATTTTCCCCTCCTTATTATACTGCCAGCAGAGAGATTTCTTGGGTCAGGTCAGCAGACAAAAGAAACAGAAATAGAAGCTGATTTTTCATGGCAAGCTGCCATGATCCTCCGGTCGGAGACGTCACGTTGTACAAAAGGCCTTGGCGAGGAGGATACGGGACACCTTCCTCTTTCACCCCTGCTTCGGCACAAACAGCTATAAATCTTCCAAACCTTGCAAAGAGACCAGTAATCGCACCGTTATCCCCAGCACCAGCTTGGGGTTATTTGTTTTTCCCCTTGCACCGTGGGAGCTGTATTTTTGGCAGGGCAGAGGGGTTGTATAGGGCACCCCAGGAGGAGACCCTGGCACAGCATGGCCCCCCCAAGCCCCTGAGCACCACTGACTGGTCCCAAACTACCAGATAACCCAGAAAATGTTTTTCAGTGCAAACAGAAAACTGTTTGCCCCAAAACAAATTGAAAATGGGGTAATCGAAGGGCTGAGGGTGTAATTAAAGGACTCAGGAAAGCCTTATTGAGAAAAAGCGGCTGGTTTTCTGTTCAATTTTTTAAGACTAAGATTCACATCCTGAGCACGCTGATAACGATAACTGCAGTGGAGCCATTAATACTGCTGCAGTTAAGCATGTATTAATTTTCTTACATTACAAACGTCAACTCGGTTTACCCTGAGGCAGTAATTTGTTCCAGGATAAAACCCAACATGAGAACCCGTCGGTTTGTAAGTGAGCTGCTTCACTGGAAAACTCTCCTTTGCCTATTGGAAAAATGATAGGAGAACATTTACAACCAGAGCATGCTGTAAGTGTGGCACAAGGGGCTCTTCCCCCGGTTAAACAGGTCCTTCTTGGCTGTTAGTGTCTTTGGATGAAATAGCATCTTACTTCTGGATTTTAACTTAAAACTGCAAAAATAAGCACTTCAAGTCACTTAATGAGCATGTCCAGCAAATTTCTTTCGAGGCGTTTTGATCTGCAAATCTGTATTTCCAGGGTGAGGCAACACAAAGTGAATTTTCTGGCATCTCTTTGGTTGTGAAATAGCTTTCCAGCTCCCAAGACACAGAGGGGTGTTATCGGCAGCCTGGGGAGGACTGAATTTCTCATCCTGCCCGCTCTGGCCGCTGCAGCAGGAGCCTGAGCCCTCTTGCAAACCATGCACGAAGCAGCAAGAAATTCAGACTGGCGCAAAGCAGCATTAAATTCAGGTTACAGCTGCAATGTCCCAGGCTGCCCAGCTGCAGGGGGACCCAAACCCAAACTGTTTCTGCTTTCCAAAGCAAGGCTGAGTTAGCTTGATTCAGCCCCAGAGAGAGCAACCTGAGCCCCGGCTCCCGCATCATCCCCCAGCCTGTATGCCTTCCCACCGCCCTGCCAGGCCTCCGGGACAGTTTGGTGGCAGAGCCATTGACCCCGGGGTGGTGGGGAGCAGCCCTGCCAGGGATGCTCTGGGAGGGAGATGTTGGGTGTCAAACTGCCAGAGCACTTGGGGTGTGGGTGAATAGCGGCTGTTGCTGTAAGCCGCAGCATCTGCTCTCTGCGCAAGGCTAGTGCCCTGCCAGCACGTGCCAGCAGGACTCGCCAGGCTGGGCAAGCGGCAACAAGCCCCAGCAAGACCTGGCACATTCTGGGCTCTGGCTGCCGGGTGATCCTCACCTGGTTTATTTTCCCCCTCTCCTATTTTCAGAGACAAGCCAGAAGTCACCTGCGTGCGAGCACGGCCCAACCCGTCCTGGGACCATCGATAGCATGCTCAAAACACTATCGGCACCACTATCTATTCCTAAATTTCCTTTCAGGCAAAACTGAGACATTCACTTTCAAGAGTGAACATGAACCCTTACAGTGTCCATCCTGTGCAACCTTCACCACATTAAACAAGCCCAGTGGTCCGGGGCATGAGGCACTCATGAGCTGAAGTCACGTCCCAAAATCAAGGAGAGGGGTGTTGTCCTCCAAAACGTCCCTGAGGGCTTTGCACAGCCCCATGGAGAATGGGATCCACCCTCAGAGCATTGCAGCCAGGTTTCCAAATGCTGAGCTCCAGGTTTTGCAGGAGCAGTGCACAGACATGCCAGGCACCTTCCTGCTTTGGGATGGTCGCAGGCTTTTTAAACGACTGCTGTGCTCCTCTGGTGACACAAACTAAATTTTAATGACCACGTTCATAACCACAGAGAAGGGTGTAAAACCAAAACGCTGACACAACTTTAACTACAGCGACACAAATGTGCTGCTATAATATTTTTACAGTTCCTTTTTATACATAATGCATGATCCTTCTGCTCAAGTTTCCTCTACGTTCTTTTCCCGTGAAAAAATTTACATTAATACATAATTTATTATGGCAACTTGTAAAGCAATTATGGGTTTCAATCAATTTTTCTTCTCCTTTTTGGCAGATAAATTCTGTTTGGATCTTAACCCAAACATTTCTCTTCACACGGGTGTGCATCCAATTCCCTTTTTCCCATGTTGTTCAAGTCAATTTCAGTCTCCCAGCCTCCGTGCACGGGGGAAAAGGCAGCCTGCGTTTTCCACTGCCCCCTGTTTATGTTTGAGAGACGATTACTAAATGTGGAACAAATTTAATGGTTGTAATTAGCCGATGGCAGTGCCATAGAGCCTTCCCATTGCAGGAATAAGATTAAAATACGATGCGCGGAGCTGTGCTTCAATGGGAAATGAAAACAACAGCCCCTAAATCTACTGCTGGAGAATAAACACACCAGTGGGCTGCGGGCTCCTCGTGCCAGCCTGCACGGGGGAGGGACATTCCCCACCTCGATGGCAAAACGTGCCCTGCTCTTCAACACAATCCTCTGGCGACTTCTCCCCGCTCCAGCTACGCCTTGTTGGCTTTCCCTGCACGTCTTTCTCTCTTTGTGGATTGACTGTGCTTGAACATGCACCAAGATGCTGTTCTACGCTGCTGGCTTTCCAAAAAAACCCTGAAATCCCAGGAAATCCCGGTTCAGAAACAGGAGGCATGCAAGCCCTGCATTGGGAGGCAGAGGGGTGGGCGGGTGCTTTCGGGATGCGATCGAGGGGCATCACCCCCCAGCTGGACTTCATTCTGGCTTCTTGGCTTTCCTCCATCACCTATGCGGTGTGAAAAGTAATTTCCAGGTAAGAGGTGTGCAATGACGAGACCCAAGGCTGCAACCCCCCTGGCACACTTGCCTCTTGGACTGCTGGTGTTGCCAAACCACGATGGTGGAGGAGTGTGCCGAAGGACGGACGAGCTGACCTGTGCGCTTCGTCCATCACCCCACTCTGCCACAGCGCTCTACAAGGACAAATTCTGGGGGTGCTTTCCAAGGGGAAAAGCAAATGACTGTTACTTTTAAAAGAGCATTTCACAGAAGATGGATCCGTCCCTGATGGGCTCAAACCCATCCTCCCCTTCCCTTTTACAAGCAGGGCTATGCATGCAACAACTGCCGTGCCAGGACACTGATCCTGCGGCCAGGGTGACTGCACTTGCAAGCACCTTGTCACAGCCTCAATAAAACCCTGCCTGCAGTTTGCCTCAAAGATAATTTCTTGCTTACACAGAAAACAGGAGGCCAAGGCTCAAACATCCTCCCCTTCCCTTTTACAAGCAGGGCTATGCATGCAACAACTGCCGTGCCAGGACACTGATCCTGCGGCCAGGGTGACTGCACTTGCAAGCACCTTGTCACAGCCTCAATAAAACCCTGCCTGCAGTTTGCCTCAAAGATAATTTCTTGCTTACACAGAAAACAGGAGGCCACAGCTGTTGGCATACGCCTGCTGAGTTTCTCTTAAAAGGCTGGACTAGTGCAGCCTCTGGTGCTACCGATTTAGACATTGAGTGCTGCTTATATACCTGCTAGGGAAAGGTTAGGTGATGCTGCCAATGCCTTGTTAAAATATTGTAAATTTTCTTCTGCCATCCACCCAAAGACAGAAACATTTCAATATAGGAAGTCAAAAGTAATGCCCCAACTTTCTAATACAGCGCCTTCTTTCTCTAGCACAGTCACTGATATTTTGACTGGGGGCATGTGATGGAGACTGCAGGGGAAGGAAAGGGAAAAAAGGAGAAAAAAAAACCCTATCCAACAACAGGACAATTCTTATACTCCCAGGTGTTTCAAGGACCCATCAAGGAGAAGGGAATAAAATTGTTGAATTTATAGTTTTAGGCATTTCACCTTTAATCTTCCTCCCAGCAAAGGGCTATATAAAGGTAAAAACCAATCTTTTTAGTAATATTGTCATCACACTGGCAGGAGTATTTCTTACAAATCTAAAAATCAAAAGATTATTTAGATCACCTTGAGAAGTGGATCTAACATTGCATCATCCGACATATCGAGTCTTTAATAATGTTTACTCATATATTGAGTTATATTACAATCTATAATTGATATTCAGATTCTTCTGGTGTTTAGTACCTTACGAGGTATCTACATCAGTTTACTCTTTTCCCCACATTATGCTACGGGTAAGCAGGACCCCAGCCTTGCCATCTTGGCCCAGCTGGGTTTCTTGGTCATGGTGCATTACACACCCTTTGGGGCTTTGACCCAACTTCTTCCTTCTCATTCCTGGAGATAAACGCTCCTGAGCCGATGCCTGTGGGAAGCTCCAGGGTTTGGATGATGCTCTCCCTGGCAGCCTGGCCGAGGCTGGGCTTCCCTCTGCCCCGCTGTCCCATGACTGCTGGGACCAGCCACAAGCTGCCTTCCTGCCCAAAGCTGCCCTCGCCCCCAGAGGCAACTGGGAAGACCCTGTGCTAAGACCGTCAGCCTCTTCTGGTGAAAAACTCAGAAAATTCAGCCAACTTCCCTCTATCCCCCCAACATTGTACATGGGACTATGAGTCTTTGCCTCTGGTTGGCTGCACTGCCAGTCCAAACTTCACTGTATTGATTTATCTCAGCGCTTTTCACCGACAGGGACTTGGCCCTTTGACCTGAAATATTCCCCCAGTTTTGCATTTGGTGCCATGAGAACCATGGGACTTATTTAAAAAGTCAAGCAAGTTTTGACACTGGATTAGTCTGTGATCGTGGCCCACATTTGGAGATAGCACAGATGATCAAGAACGCTCGGGAAAGATACCCAAGCCAACCAATGCCCTTGCATGCTGAAGAGACTGGGTCTTTTTGGCCGGGCATGACGAAGACCATTAAATGGCAAGCTGTGGTCAAGGAGGTGACATTCGGTTCCGTTGGAAAGAAGATAATTTGGCAGCCAAGGAAGACCAGCGCAGCGCTACGAAGACACAGAAGGCTTTGTAAAAGCTCTTAAAGACAAGCTGCTTTTCAATTAGGCATAGACTCTTCATATCTGTTGAAGACCCTGGCAGTGCCACAGTGCAAGACAAAACCATCTGATTGGGTTTCTTTGTTTCTTGCTCATGTTTTTCTTTGTTCCTCACTCATGTTTGACAGGCAGGAGAAAGGGAACGGGCTGTCTCTACCCCTTCTTGACTTTGAAGCTTGTGACTTTCATCTGAAAAAATCCAAATGTTTTCCATCTTCTCCCACCCCCCCTCCTGATGACTGGAGTTATCAGAGCGCTTGGGAAATATCTCCTGTCAATGCATGTGCTCGGGTCCCATTAACACTAATGAGAGTTGCGTCCATGAAGAAAAGGGGCAGCCTCTTTGTCTGTAAAGCATTGGCTCAAACTTGACTTACAATTTTAATTGAGTTTTGAGACTTCGCCTAGTGACTAGCTCCTCCCTACAAAACCAAAAGAGCACAAAATAACAGCACATCCTCCAGCACTATCAGTTTTTCAGGATCACCAGCCAAGGCACCAATCCCCCATCAATTTTGGTGGCTGTTCAGCATAAAAATTGATAGCAAGCTCTGACATGAAAGGTATTAAACATCCTATACCATGGTTATTGTCAAAGGCAAAAATAAGACATTTTCCTTATTGTTTGATGCCTGTCCAAACACTTCATGCCAAGTGGTAGAATATTTTTGTGATAATACTGATATTTATTACTTGCATCGTGCAAACAGTCAAGAGCCACAGTTGTGGGCTGGATACTCAAACACAGTCTCAGACCCAAAATGCTTATGATCTCAACTGTACAAGTTACTCTGAAAATAAGCAGACATATCAAAGCACTGAGAAGGGGGAAGGAGATAAGCAATTCACTCAGCAATGGCAATGGGGCAGGACAACCGCCTCTGGGAAGGAGGGTGGCACAGGCGTGATGGCCACCACTAAGTGGGTGGTGTGGTGAGTGCCCCTCCATCCCCGCTACATGGGGCAGGTGGGTGGACGCCCCCCCCAGGGTCTGCAGGGGAGCATTTTTTGGAGAGATCCAGCCAGTCAGGACATCTTCCCACCCATCGCTATAAGGAAGCGGGAGTGGAGGTGAAGTAAATATGGACAGAAGTTTCTGTTACTTACCCATCACGCCACAAGAGAAGAGGGTAGGTCCTTGACTCATCTTTGGAGTGTGCTGCAAACAACCAGAAAAACTATTCACTTCTCGTGGACTCGACTGGGGCACCAGAAACCACCCTGCCTCCAGCCTCAGCAAAGTCGCACAGCACCCAGCGGGGAGGAGAGCCTCGGGCGCCTGCAAGGGTCCCGTTTCGGCAGGGACTGGGGGACAGACCCAGTCATCTTCCCTCAGTGAAATCAAATTTAATTAAACACTGCAGAGAGTCGGTGTCGAGGCCTGAGGTTGCACATCATGGCTCCCGCACCTAGTCCTTACCCACAGGAATAGCTGCAGCGAATCCCCAGCTGCAGGACCCAAAACACTGGAGAAACTAAACCGGGAGCTGCAATTCAGCAGTAATTCTGGATTGGGCAAGAAAGCAGCAGCAGTGGTATCTGAACCCCATCCAAGCCCATTAAGGCCTCCCATCTAGGTAGAAAGCGGCTATTCCCTGGAAGTATTTAAAAGACGTGTAGATGAGGCGCTTAGGGACATGGTTTAGTGGGCCTGGTGGTGTTGGGTTGGCGGTTGGACTCGATGATCTTAGAGGTCTTTTCCAACCTTAATGATTCTATGATTCTATTTAGTTTTTTTAAAACATATAGTGTGTTTCTAAGGCAAGACGCCCTCACCCCAGCACTTCTGGGGAGTCCGCATTCAGATTGTGCTGATTTGCACTAAAAATAGGGAAAAACGCTACTATATGGGTACAATATAATCCTGGATGCTTTTTACACTCTTTTTTTCCGAGAATTTTCCTCTTGACAGTGCAAGAGACATCATCAGGCTTCTAAAAATGGGCATGGACAGTTTTATATACAATAAATCAATATGTCATCTGCAGCTACATGCCATTTCAGCTATGTTTGCAAAAACACACTTTCATACTAATTGTTCTTTTATTATCCTCAAAAATATCCATATTCTGCTTCTGAAGTGTTTTTCCTGGCAACACCATCCCATCTGACCGAGGTTTTACATCATCTGAGGGAAGCACCAGCATGACCTCCCTGTTCATCTGTGCTGTCATAGCTGTGTTTTATCTGGTGTTAGGCCACCACATTCACATTTTCTCTCCTGATCCATGTTTTACACGTTGCCTGCTCACATAACAATAATAATAACGTACCAAATGCTGGCACCTGCCTGTACAGAGCAATCCAACGAAAGGATCCCACTTCATATACAGAATATTGTAAATATTGAATATAGAGGGATGTGGAGGCAGAAAACAACGATGGCGTGCAGATGTGGACAAGGTAAATAAGGGTTGGTCACCTTCTTTGGAGCATGTGCCACTCTTCTAGGTGAAGTCAGGCTATTTTTATCCGTTAAGCCCCACCTTATGAAGTGGCAAGTAGAATTAATCAGGAGACAACGAGGACAGGCAGCTGTCTCCAAAGAGTGGCCAAAGTGGAGCAGCAATGGAAGTGGGACAAGCCCCAGAGAAGGCGGTGGTTGTGCCAGCACCCCTCTGTGTGCCAGCCCCAGAGACCAGCTATACTGCTTGCAAACGCGGGAGGGGGAGGAACATCTTAAGATGACATATGTCTCATATTGAGTATAATTACCATTTTGTAAGAGTTTCGTCTTAACGCCAAACTGGGAACTGAACCAAACAAGCCCATTGGGCATTGGTAGGTGATACTGTCCCGCTGCTCGGACACTTATTTCCTTTAGGTTTTGCTTTTTGGCCTTTCTCATGAAGTCAATGGAAAAACTCTTGCTTTCTTTGGTGGATCAGACTTCTTGTGAACATCTGCCCCAATTTAACAGCCTGGACAACCCAACAATTCAACTTGTGTAAGCAGGACTATCATTGCACTATTGACCCAGCCCCAGAGCTGCGGGAGGCCCTCAGCAAACACACGAGGGCAAAGTTTTGTGTTACAGCTCCGCACCTCCACTGCCTGCCATCGGACAGCCCGGGTGCCGATCCCTGCCTGGGGTAGTAGAAGAAACTACTTCTCATCTGCCTCTCTGCAGAGCAAGTTCCCCTCCACCTGCCCCACACACCTCCTGGGGCACAGCCAGCACTGGATGCTCAGGCTCCCCTCTCGCCGCCCCGAGCAGCAGCCACGGGAGATGCTGCCTTCCCAGCAGGAGCCAACACTAAAGCAAGGATATTTTTCTAATATATCAATATCCTTCCTTCCCAAATTTCACCCTTTTAAGGCAGGATTTAATGCTGCCTCTGGCTTGCTTGCCTTCTCCTCCACTGCGCACTGCCAGGGCAGCCTGCCTTTGCCCTGGCATGCTGTGCAATCTGCCCGGGAAGCCCGGCCGGATAGTTTGTCATCCTCAGCAAACTTAGGCATTTATATTTCTTTTATGCTCAAAATACCCATTTATGGCTAATCCTGCCAGATGCTTCCTGCTGTGTTACTGCACGCCCTTATCTGAGGCTCTCAGCGCACCCTGCGAGGAATAGCCTTTCGGTCTAATTTCTTCTCGGACTATGACCATCCCTCCCGGAGGACAGAGAAGCAAACGTCCACGACCAGCCTTGCTCTGGGCTTTCTCAGACGACTCTCCATCATCCCGCACTTCCTCCTCCTGCCTCTGCTCCCCACCCTCACTTGCTCTGACACTGCCCCCAGAAAATGCGTTGCCCCTCATTTCCCACTACCGTAGGTACGCTCAGCCCCACAGCCTTGCTCGCCCCTTGCAGCATCATTTAGGCTGTTTGCTGCCCCTAATTTGTTTTTTTTTGTTGCCTGCTCGTTCGGTGTGGTTGGATTTGCATCCCTCCAGGCTGCCAGTGAGACTGTTAAGTACCACAGCACTGCCCTTCACCATCTCCCACTTAATCCTGCTCCCCACTTGCTCATCCTCCTATTAATGATGAGCATCTGTTCGCTGTTGGTGAAGCAATTTCTTGCCTGTGTTATTCACGGCATTGATTTTATTTTTTTCTACTGTTTATTCCATTGCATGCTTACTGAAATTCACATATGCAAAAGCCACAGCACTCCAATCATTTACTAATCGCCTGCTCCTTAGATATTAATGCAGCTCGGTAGAAATCACTGCTATAAACCATCTAAAGATCCGGCCCTGCAGCACAAAAAACCCTTATTATAAAGCTACAGCAAAGCTCTCAACAGCAAAAGAGTTTTGAACAAAGATCTCACAAAGCTTACCAGCTCAGTCCTGCATGTTACAGAGTCAGCACCTTTGTTTTCCCGAGTTTTGGTTAAGATCATCACCATGGTAATGCAGTCCTGCCTCGGAGTCCATCAGGGTCCAGGCAAACGGCGCCAGCAGCCGTGGTCTGGTGAAGCTCCTCTTTCAGTGCATGTTCCCCCGGGAAAGGCTCAGCCCCACCGACTCCTCGGGGGATGCACAGGAACAGGCTCCAAGTGTGGAAAACTCCCTGTACGCACAGTGAGAGAGAGGAACAGCTTTAAGGGACTTGCGTGGGGAGACGGCGGGATGAGGTTGGGTGTGCTGGGCAAGGGGCAAGCGCTGCCTGAAAAACACCCTGAAGGCAGTTACTCCAGAGGAGTATTTATTTTAGACTTAAATATTGTTGGTGTTCCTCTGCACCCCATCAGTGCAGAGGTGTTTTGTGGGACGGACACTCGCACGAGCTGTTGGAAGCATGTAAGGTACACAAGGCGATCCGGAGGGACAGAAGTATTTCAGGCAAATTAATAAATAAATAAATAAAGTTTCCTCTGAATTCGCCCTTTGAAAAAGGGAACTCTCATCCCCTATATGGAAGATAGTGAGGCTTTGATAGAAGGGCTCGTTAAAGCCCGTGGGTTGATCTCACAGAAGCCCTTGCCCCCAGACCAACTGGCAGCAGATGTCCAGCAGAAAAAGCCCCTCCAGCATCATTAAGGCTGTGAAATCCCCTGGATGCCCCTAGCCCACCCCAGCTGCTCCCTGATTCCCAACCCATGAAGAGCCCTTTGGGGGAAAAATGGCACAAAGAGTTGCCTGCAAGAAAGGAGAGAGCTCTCTGCCCTGAAATCCTAAGGGCCACACTATGCCTCTTGATCCTTATCTATTTCTTAGGTAGTTTTAGGTAGGAAAAGCTAAAGGCTGCACAATGAGGAGCGCATATTAAGGAACAGGCTGCCAACCAGGCTCATATAGCTCTGCACAGACCTGACCACAAGCAGTTGCCCAGCTCTGCCTCACCTCCTGGCATCCTTTCCGATAAACTTACTCCCGTGTAAAAGCAGACAGATTGCAATTCAAATCTGACTATAAAAATCAGTGTTTTCCCCAAATCACTCTTCTAATCCTGTTTTGCTATTTTGTTGCCTTTCAGTTAATGCAAACAAACAAAAATACCATTTGCATGATATGAAGAGCATAAAACACTGATCTTTTAACACACAGTCAAAACCCAATTGCAATATTTAAGGACAATATTTGAGAATATGCCGCTAAGTATTAAACCTCATTACGAACTGATAGGGCTTCTCTTCCCAGCTCGTAAATCACCTTTTCCGTGTTTACTTGGATTAGAGCTTGCGATGGTGTTATGAGTAGCTCATTTGAAGGCCAGCTGGCTGGTAAAGAAAAATCACCTTCTATTATTTTGTGAGGTCAAAGTTCATCCAGACTGCAAAGCCAGGATTGGGAACCAATACATTTTCCAAAGATTTACTGTTCCCAAGGGCACGTGGTACAGTCTCCAGCTTCTTATGGGACATTGGTGGGCTTATAATACACAAGTTACCGGGCAACCCAGTGACCAGATGGAAACTGTCAAATAGAAAAGCAAAGCATTTCAGACCATCAAAATGACACATAATTTGCTAAGCCCAGATCACATATTTATACTATGGATAGCCTGGGTTCGCGCAAGGAGACCATGACATAAGGGAGGATGGGGTGGCTGGAGGACCAGTTGACTAACACAGCAATGTGCCCCCATCACCACAGGGCTACAAACCCCCCGGTGATCCTGGAGGCAGCTCAGACACCTCTGTTACAGCACACGGACCCCCAAGGTTATGCTCAGGAGGCTCCCCAAGCCCTGTGCTGGGGCCAGCTTAGGGACATCAAGCTCTTTTCCAGGAGCAAGCAGAAAGTGTCGCTGAATGGTCATTAATAAGCTCCATAGGACTTTTACATTTCTGCGTTTTGACCGTCCTTGCATCAAATATATTGGTATGCAGCAAAAAAAAAAAAGGACGGATGGCTGCTTACACCAGGCTCTAAACAAACACAAGAGGAGGGGATGCTCCCCGAAAAGGGCTGCCAGTGTCAGCACGTAACAAGGGACAGATGGGGACAAACAGAAGATGTGTGGAAGCAAGGACCACATAACATGGAAGCAGCGATAAAGGGGAAAATAAGCAACGCTGGTGATATGCTCACTGCTGAAGCTTCCAGTGTTTCACAGCAACACCAGGCTCTAAACAAACACAAGAGGAGGGGATGCTCCCCGAAAAGGGCTGCCAGTGTCAGCACGTAACAAGGGACAGATGGGGACAAACAGAAGATGTGTGGAAGCAAGGACCACATAACATGGAAGCAGCGATAAAGGGGAAAATAAGCAACGCTGGTGATATGCTCACTGCTGAAGCTTCCAGTGTTTCACAGCAAGATCCCCAACACCAGTACGGGGCCCCAGCAGCACGCATGCGGCACCGCTGGCAGCGGCACAGCACCCCATCCTTGCTGGCTCATCTCCTTTTACTTCTTGTGAGTGCTCTCCCTGCAATTTTAGCCCCACCAGCTACCATGGTTGAGCCACAGACCAGGGACAGGGAGCCGGGCAGTGGCTGCCCTTGCCGATGTCAGAGTTGGATCTGCCAGAACAGAGCTCCCATTCCCCAAGGAAAAATCCCCTCCTGCCAAACTTGCGGGGTCAGCAGCCTCCCAGAGACCAGCATGCACACAGCAGCCCACAGACAAGAGGCACTTAGATCCCAGTGCGTGCCTCTGAGCCAGGGGAGCTAAGCCAGGTTTAAAGGTTTAAAGCCCCCTCAAGGATGAGGAGCGGGAGGCTCTTTGGGAGGCTCCAGCCTTTCCCCAGCACTGGGGAAACCCCTGGAACAGAGCTGGCAGTGCCCTCCTGGTCCTCTGCGCCATACCACAGATGGCTAAAGCACAGGACAGGGACTAAAAACACCTGAGGTTTATATTTTTATCTGCCACAGTCTCGGTTGTGCCTGATCCCAATGCAGAGATAGCAATGCTTGCTGCGGGGCTGGACTCTGTGTTTTGGAGGACGCTGGGGCCATCACCGGCACGGCAGCAGCACAGGCAGTGAAGATCAAACAAGCATTCAGAGCAGCATGAAAGCAGTTAAGCATGGTTCCTCATTAACAGGGTATGATTTCTTCACGAATAATTATCTTTCCCTAAGGTAATGATTAATGTTGCTGCAGCAGACTCCTATACACACCCAGACGTGCGGCAGCCAGCAGGCAGAAACAGCAGCAAGTACAGGCAGAAGCTCCCTGCCCGAGCCGGACAGGCGGCAGCGCATGCCGCCTCGTGCCTCCCCTCTCCCTGCTCTGCTGCATCTCCTGCAATTAACGCAACCCTAATGATAACGCAGCAAACCGCCAGCCGTGCTGCAAGCTGGCAGCTAGCATCACCCCACGTCGGGTCCGAGGCATGCTTTTGGGTCTGGGCTCTTTTAATTACTGCTTGGTTTCATTTTGAAATCATCCCCAAGAAACTGCAATAAAAAGGAAAACTTTCCAGTGAAATGTGATATTTGGCTCCCCATCCTGCTTCACCGGGCTCCTGATGCACAGCGTGACCCAGCACGGTCCTGCCCCGTCATGTCCTCTCGATGCAAACAAGTGTTGTGGGAGAGAAACGCTTCTGCAGACCCGGGATGTTCTCCCTATTGACTCTGAGGAGGAAACTACTGTGTATTTATAGACTGGAGGCTTTCAAACACACACATGCTAATAAAAAGATACTCTTCAGGGACCATTAATTATTTTAAGACATGTATTTCCTCATTTGCAATCAGATAAAGGGAACTATCTTCATCCCTCTGTCAAGGTTAAGTTTAGACTTGGGCCATGGCCACTGGGATCGACACAATCTCCCGAGCTGCATGGAGCACCCATGAGCAGCACTAGTGCATGGAAACCCCCAAATTTTAGCAAACCATGCTTTTTCTGTGGGTATTGCTTCAAAATACAGACCGAGTGTAAGCATCTGTGATCTTTGCAGTTGCAGAGGTGGAAAGAGGTTTCTCTTATATCTGCTTTCTGGACAGTATCACAACAACTAAGTGTTGGGCTTGGAAAAAAATTACACTGCAAAAAGGATAAGTCAGATGATCCAGCTTTCATCCACAGGCTTGAAAGGTAATGCTTGTAAACAAATATGCTCCTTACAAGGTACCAGCAAGGAGCACAGCCCTAGAACTGCTCACAACAGGCAAACAGCCCTTCCCTGCAGGGAGGTCCCACTCCCTGCACCACAACTGATGCTACCACAGTGGACTCCAAGCACCATGCAGCTGCCAAGTCACGGTTGTACCCTGTTCACCTGCTACACTGAAATGTACGGAAAAGACCTCAGGATTTAGCAAACTGTCTGTCGGATACTCTGCCACAGCTGAAGGGAGCCTGAGCAGTAACCAATATCGCACACCCATACATCTGACCCCCAGCAGTACTCTTCGTGAAGATGGCTGAGGACCAGCATCACACAGATTTCCACTTGCTGTGGGTCCACCACCCTCTGTACAGAAAACATTCAACACCCACCCAGCTCAAATAATCCATCTCCAGACACACACACTGACATAAAACCTATTTAGAGGCAGAAAGGGCACATGGGAATGAGGAGCCAGAGCTGTATTTTGCATACTGATACACCTTGCAAGCAGCACAGCGGGGTCACTCTTGGAATATAAATCACCCGCCCCCGCTGAATTTTTAATGCTGCTCGAAGCCTTCAGTGAAAAAGCCACAACCCACGCAGGACCCTGCTTCCTACCCCATGCCCCAGCACTGTTCCCCGTGCTGTGCCTGAAGAAATACTCAGGCACCCTTTTGACTGCACAGAAAGTTTTCTTAAACCCCTGCAAAAGGAAAAGGGAAGCATTCCTGACCTTTACTTTCTGAATGAAACCAAGAGCTGCCCGACCCTCTCTGGGTGGAGGAATTCCAGCCACTTCCAAACCCATCCCGAACTCTGTGAAAGAGGAGGAAGGACAAACACCCAAGCCCAGCCTTCATCCTTGGTGTAGCCGCAGCCTTGGCTCCATTGCCACCAGCAGTGTCATTCCAAAATGCTACGGTGCAACCAAGAGCACACTTTGGCTCAGCAAAAAATATTCCTATCGCCACACCGCGAACTCTGGCTGTATGACTCCGGAGAGCCAATGCTGATG